CATAATAATATAAACACTATATATATATATATATATATAAAAGTGTAATTGTATCTTAAATATTCTATGAAGAGATCAAACGTTATACAATTGGAAATTTTTCCATCTATCTTGTACACACATATTGTACAAAAGAATGTTATACCTTTACTGGAAAATATGCTCTTGTGACTTTCTTAACTTCAGTATATAATAAAGCAAATTATTATAATTGCTTCCTCTGGTATAACAGTTCAGTAGGGCTAAGAACTTTTAAAATTATTATTCGTTATTAAAATGTGAATACTTGGTAGACTAAATAAGTACTTTATATGTATCAATTATTAATATTAAAATATATATAAACAAGTGCCTTACACATAAATATTTCATGTACATATCACCTATTAATAAAACAGTACACATAGATAATTAAATAAGACAAAATTTCTATGAGAATGTTATTCGAGTTCTTGTATCCACGTCGCTAAATTAATACATCCTTTGCCGATGTTGTATGAAGTGTCTACCAGCATGCCGCTCCAGTTTCTCATTTCTTTCATTGTTACGACGATCCCAGTGATGATTACGTCTATCGTGATTTTGATTTTGGTTCTGACGCGACCAATCGTGCCTGCGTGGCTTATTATACCAAGGGTCTACAATTGGCGGTTTCTTTGGCTCCTGTATTTTAATCTTCATGAAATCACCATCCTTCTCTGTATACCGGTCCTTGAACTCCTCCTCGCATTCTTCTATAAACTTCGTTTGCTCGCTTGTCAAAGTAATATCCGTCATGGTTAACGAATCTACAGTTTGTACATAGAACGATAATGAATTAAAACAATAATAAAATAATTAATGAAGATTTCATAAATATGGGAAAATCATCATTACAAATAAAACTTACAATCAGAAACATTTCACGCTTTCGTTCGTTTTAGCTTCCTATTGTCTGCTGTAAATCGTTAGATACTTTTCGTAAATACTTTGAGCTTGTTGACTTGCAAGTAGAGGTTATGTTCTTTAAAAGAATCATCACATACGCATAGGGGTGCGTTCCAAAACTCGACTAGATCAACTCCGAGTATCTTTTATCCTTGTTCAACACCTCAACAGTTGAGTGAGCGTTCGCTGTTATTGGTGTATTCTTTTAGATTATCTAAACAACATATTAAATTTGGAAGAATACATCAATAGCAGCGAGCGCTCACTGAATTGTGAGTTCGCTAAACGCTGCCATTGGATGCATTTATTGTCTTCTAGAAAAAATATTTTGGCATGAAACTTGTTTTGACGTAGATTTTACGAAGCTACAAAGCCTATTATAGAGCTGAATTTTGCAATTTCACTTAAGGGGTTATATCACTCTTGAAAAAAATTTTTATCGTTTTACTTTTTATTGGCTTAATTGACGTATAAATGTGTCAAGAATAATATACAATAGGAATTATCAGTCAGAAAATTGTATAAATAATTTTTTAAATCAATTTTATGTAACAAAGTCGAGCGCCCGAAGCGCTCCGAAACGTTCGATAAAGCCGCTCTGCTTGGCGCTGTATTTTGAAGCATCGTAGTCCGAGTCGGTAATTTTGTTCACTTCGAGTAAGTTATACTTCTATAAGTTTCCTTCAGAGG